CCCAGGTGGCGCTCCACTGAGTCACTCCACCCACCGTGACCCAGAGGGTGCTCTCACTTGGTTTCTAGAAGCTGTGAGTTCTCCAGCAGCAGATTCCCCACTTCTTTGCCCATTCCTGAAACAGAAGATCCAGAGGTTTTACCTGTGTCCTTCGAGGCCCAGTCCTGAAGCACCGAACCTGCCTCAGAGCAATGTCTAGGGAAAGGATATGGAGTTTGGTTTACAGGTAGCCCTGGGAGAGGCCTTGCTGGCCCTGGCGTCAGGTGAGCTCTGCAGCTTGCTCTGCAGCCAGCAGGGAGGTGCTGCACATGGAGCAGAACCCCAGCGCAGCAGCTCTAGGCTCACATCCTGGGCCTCAGGTGCTTCTCCCAGCTCCCAGCTAACATGAAGTCAGTGTAGGGTGGCGGTGGATGGCAGGCCCTGGAGTGGCCACTGTGCCGCGCCTCCATCCCGGCCCCTTAACCACTCTGTGGTCTCCTGGTCCATCCTGAGGCCTCTGAGTCGCCCCTCAGTTGAGTGATGCTGGAGCCGCAGTGATGGGACAGGGACAACAGCATAGATCTCAGAAACCCTCTGGCTGAGGAGATGGGATGGCCCATAGCAGGCATGCCCTTCACCGGGTGAGGTGTGGCCCGGCCCCACATGGTGGGGTCAGCAGGAGCAGAGAAGGGAGTGGTTGTGAGGAGAAGGGCAGTGCTCCCTGCCTTCCCATGGAGAGACTGACTGCCTCCTCTACCACCAGGCCCCAAGGTGGGCCCTGCGGGCATGTCAGAGACTCCAAGAGGACCGAATCTGGTCCTTTAGGACTGTCCTGAAAATAAGGCCTGGCTCTCCTGTTCATGCTCCTTGCTGTCTATGTGGTCATGAAACAGCACAAAACACCTATATTCCTAGGTTTGGGGTCCTGCCTCCATTCTGACCTCCCTTGCATCAAACATGGGCCTGCCTCCCCCCAAACAGAGCTGCCCTAAGCTGCTCTCCTCAGGGGGCCAGCTGGGAGGGAGGGTGCTGCCACCCACAGGCAGTGTGGAGGGACCTCACCTCACCCTGGGCAGCCCCCACTGACCCACTGCTGCCCCACCATGCAGAACAAAGCAAACAGCTCATGAAGCATGAGAAGGTGTCAGAGGGGTGAGGAAGCTAGGAGCAACACACACTGCAACAGGGCCTGGGCCTTACCAAAGAAATCATCGCGCACTACGGAGCCGTCCCAGTCCCAGGGAGACGGGCAGCGGGCAGGAGGAGGAGAGGGAGGGAGAGAGAAGAAGCGTTAAGCCCCTGTGGACAGCAGGCGGGTGGAATATCAGAGCTAGTTCTCCTGGGGCGGTGGTGAGCACAGGAGGGAGACAGAGGGCGGGGATGGATGGAGCCAGTTACACCTTCCAGAAAGTTTATCCTTGGGGTTACACAGGAGACTGCCAGGTCAAGATCACCTGTAGGGAATGCAGTTAACATTTCACCCAGTGCTGGGCTGGAGCAGGGTGGGGGCCATGGATGGAAGAAAAATTCCTGCAGTGAGGGGCTATGTGTGGGCTCAGTGTTTTGAGCACATGGGGGCTGCAGCTGGATGGCAGGGATGGGGGGGTGGGGGAGGCCCAGGCCTCCTGCTGTGAAGGCAGAAAGTGAAAGCTTGGCCTATCTGTCCATGTGGGGAGAGGGCCCCTGGGCTGTGCTTGGCAGGGGCCTCATGGACCCTTGACGTCTGGGATGCAACCCACAACAGGGAAAGGACACAGAACAGGCCCTTGTCCAGTCACTGTTTTGCGTTTCCGATGGCTCCGCAGAACCTTCAGAAATGGCCCTTAGGGGCTCCTCAGGCTGGGAGTGGGGTCAGACATCAAGGTCATTTGATAGTGGCTAGTAGAGCAAACCAAAGTAAGCTTCGGAGCAGTAGTAGGCTGGTGAGCAGAAGCACAGGCACTTAGTGGCTTGGCGGCCTTGGGCAGCCAGACGACAGGAGGACAGTCTGCACATCCAGTGATGGGACAGCTGCAGGGGGTGTCTGCCATGTGCCCCACCCTGTCCCTCTGGACTCTACAGTGGGGGAGACAGACAGGAGAGATACACACCTGAGAACTCCCCTGGGCGTGTCCAGCGAGGCACAGAGAGACGAGGGGGAGAGGAAGTGACAAAGGTCAGTTGGTGACTGGAGCCAACAAAATAAAAAAAATTTTATTAAAGAAAAAGCAAGTGATCCAGTCATTCCCATGTGGAAGGGCATGGAAGAGCAAGAGCAGACTTTAGCAGGCCTATGGGCACTCCTTCCATGGGCAGAAACCCTGAGGGAAAGGGAGGCCAGAATAAAAGTCCCTCAGTCTCAAGGGCCCAGGGTACCATGGCCCACCCTGGGGCTGACATTGCTGACCCTTGTTTGGTCTTGCCGGGATCCTAAAGCCTGCTTCCCTGTGTTCCCATTGCCCTCCCTTCAGGAGGGCCAGCCCCCCTCAGACTCCTGTGAGGAAGGCCTGGAAAAGGAAGAACATGTGTGTGTCAGGGTGTGGCGGGTGTGAAAGGTGCCCAGCCACCAAAGCCCCTCCAGAGTGAGTAACTGAGAGCACCGTGGGAGGTGCACCTGGCCCTGGAGATGTAGCGCTGGACTCTTGGGCTCCCAGTCAGCCCAGGTCTTATGGGACGGGCCCAACCTTGGTGAAGGATGACCAAAGATAAAAGGGGAGCAAAGACCCCACTGTGAAGGGAGGACAACACGAAGTCAGAGAGCAGAGGAGTGGTGGGGGGAGAGAGGCAGCACATGCCATCCTCACTGGGCCCTGACCTCTCCACTACAGGGGCAGCAGACAAGGAAATGAGCCAGGGTGGGAAACGCTTCCTTCTCCCACAGACTTGATAAAACAATTCTGTTCTACTTGTTCATTTCACATAGGACAACACTACTAAAAAGTCACCTGATTTAAATGACAAAATGGGTGATTTGTTGTAGGAATTTCAATAAGAAAGAAGTGTCCGGTGGCTAGTATGGCGGCTGATGCCTGTAATCCCAGGACTTTGGGAGGCTGACAGGGAGAATTATTTGAACCCAGGAGTTTGAGACCAGTCTGGACAACATAGTGACTCTGTCTCTACAAAAAATAAAAAAAATTAGCTAGGTGTGGTGGTGCACATCTATAGTCACAGCTACTTGGGAGGCTGAGGCAGGAAGATCACTTAAGCCTCGGAGTTGGAGGTGACAGTAAGCTATGATCACACCACTGCACTCTAGCCTGAGCAACAGAGCAAGATCTTGTCTGTAAACAAATAAAGGGTGAAAAAAAGTGTCCCAATTCAAAAGTGGATGTCCCTCCCCTCTAATCTCCACTTCTGAGGGTGACCATTGCTAACATCTGATGTTCTCCTACTCAGACTTCCTTCTACATAAAAATCAGTTTTTATTTTTTTTGAGTTGGAGTCTCACTCTGTCACCCAGGCTGGAGTACAGTAGCACACCCATGGCCACCATAGCTTTGACCTGCTGGGCTCAAGCAATCCTCCCACCTCAGCTTCCAAGTAGCTGGAACTACTGGCATGTGCCACCACACCCAGCTAATTTATTGATTTATTGTAGAGACGAAGTCTCGCCATGTTGCCCAGGCTGGTCTTGAACACATGGGTTCAGGCAGTCCTCTTGCCTCAGCCTCCCAAAGTGCTGGGATGACAGGTGTGAGCAACTGCGCCTAGCTTAAAAATCAGTTTTTAAAGAAAAAAAACAGGACCATATTATTCATCCTCCTGGGTGACTGTTCCACTTAACACTATCGTGATACTCTTCCATGTCAGTGATCCCTGGTCACTTTCAATGCTCTGTAGTATTTCTCTATAGGAAGGTCTTAACACTTTTTACTGCATCTGTTCTTTTAATAGATATTTAGGGCATTTCTGAGCACAGAGTTTGGTAGCCTGTTTGATAACCTGTGGTCCCTCCTGGCCCCACCACTGCTCGCTCCAAGCCTGTACATCCAGCTGTGGCGCCACCACTGACCACTGCATGCCACCACCAGTGGTGCTCCATGGGGCTTCTCCGAGTTACCTCTTGCTGGCAGTGCGGGACAGTGGCCATTCCACACTAGACAACCTCAACTGTCTTCACCTTTATCAATCTTTTAGGGACAAAGCGCTTTCTTTTTTGAGTGAGGGTCTCACTCTGTCACCCAAGCTAGAGTGCAATGGCACGATCACAGCTCACCACTGTCTTGACCTCAGGTGATCCCTCTACCTCACCCTCCTGGGACCACAGGTACATGCCATTATGTCTGGCTAATTTTTTTATTTTTTGTAGAGATGAGGTCTCACTATATTTGTTGCTTAGGGTAGTCTTGAACTCCTGGGCTTAAGCAATCACCCTGCCTTGACCTCTCAGAGTGCTGGGATCACAAGCGTGAGTCAGGAGGCCTGGACAAGTTTTCTTGATTTTCTTCTCATTTTCATTTCTTTATTACTCTTGAAATTGAACATCTTTTCCTGTATTTGTTGGTATTGTCTGTAAACTTCCTGTTTTATCTTCTGCCTATTTCCTATTGTATTTGATTTATTTTTATCTTGATGTCACCATCATTAGTCATAGCTGTTAACATTTTCCTTTATAGCTTTGATTATGTAGAGAGCCCTGAATTATGAAAATATTCTCCAATATTATTTTCCATTTCCACTGTCCTTGTAATTTTATGTTTAGATCTTTAACCACCTAGAAATCCCTTGTTTATGGAGTGAGGTTGGGATCAGACTTCATTTTATTTCTGTGGCTGCTCATCAAATCCAGGACACTTGCTGAATCGTCCACCTATTTTCCATGGTTGGAAATGCTGCATTTGGCATGTGTGAGTTTCTGCATGGCTGCAAGTCTGTCCTCAGCTCTTTACTGTGAGCTCAGGCACCAGTTCAGCATCACCTGCCTCAACTACCTTAGCTCTATAGCAGGCTTTAATGCCTACAGACAATGCTGCAAACTTGTTCTTTCCCAGAATTTCCTGGCTGTTCTTACATTTACTCTCCTGGATTAACTTTAGAATCCATTAACAGCATTCCAGAAAAAAACCAATAAGTCTGTGGGTATTCTTACAGGTACTGAATGAATTCACATGTGAACAGTGGGCTGATCTGCAATGTCAGCAGATAGGTGACAGGGGTCTGTCTTCGGGTACAGTCACATGCCATCATTCTCTGTGTGCTTAAGGCTTCTTTAATGCCTTTGGGATTCTCTTCACATAGCCGTCTTTTCTCAATGTTGTTTCTAGACCTTTTTTAGGTCTGGTTACTGCGTCAGTGGACTCTGTCGTGAGGGTTGCTGCTTGACTGTGGTGTAGCAGTGTAGAGTGAGACCAACCTGTGTTGGAATTCCATTTCAACTGAGCAATGCAGGGCAACTAATTTGACCTCTTTGAGTTTCAGTCTCCTCATTTGTAAAATGGAAGATAATCCCTTATATTTACTTGCCATGGAATTCCCACAAGACAGTGGAGGTAAGCAGCTGGTATGGCAGCCAGACTTGCTAAGTGGTCAATGAGTATTAATTCTCTCACTCCTCAGGTCAATTCTTTTTTTTTTAAGTTAGATTCTCACTCTGTCACCCAGGCTGGAGTGCAGTGGCACACTCACGGCCACCGCAGCTTCAACCTGCTGGACTCAGACAATCCTTCTGCCTCAGCCTTCCAAGTAGCTGGAACTATAGGCACACGCCACCACGCTCAGCTAATTTTTGGAATATAAAGAATTTCTTCAGGCTGAATTACATAGACGTTTGGCACTGCCTATGAAACATGCCATGTGGGCTAAGAAGTAGAAGTAAGAGATGAAATCTCGCCAAATTTCCCAGGCTGGTCTCGAACCCGTGGGTCCAAGCAATACTCTCACCTTGGCCTCCCAGAATGCTGGGATTATAGGTGTGAGCCACCTTGCCTGGCCTTGTTGTTGTTAATTGTGTATTTATCAAAAGAAACTACTTCTTAGCCCACATGGCATGTTTCATAGGCAGTGCCAAACGTCTATGTAATTCAACCCAAATAAATTCTTTATATTCCAAAACTATTTTGCACTCTGAAAGATACGAGCTTTCCTCATCTCCTCAGACTCGCTCATGGAATCCTAATTTCTGTAGAAATCTGCATATGCCTTCTTTCTTGCTCAGCCACAGCACACTCATAGAAAGCTGCAACCCCAGAGATACAATGAGTGTTCCAACAACATGAAACCGCAGACATATCTGAGGTTTCATCAAAGCACTGGAATTCATGGTAGTTATTATCTGCAATAAGTATGTCAACCTCAACACCAACGTCCTACCTGGATGATGGAGAAATGGAGCAATTAGGTCAGTTCTAAGATGTACATATTTTCCCTCATGTTAACATTTCTAAAATTTCAGTGAGTTTTAAACAATCACTGGCATGTTATAGTTTATCTTGCAGCAACTTTTTTCTTTCTTGGAGATTTCTAAGACGTTGGTGTGTCTTAAAATTGGTGGTGCCTCAGATGCGATGGAATCTATGTGCCTAGCCAGGGCTCTTTTTCTTCCTCCACTGCTGAAGTTCAGAGTCAAAACACTGAGGGGCTAGGCATGATGGCTCCCACCTGTCTTCCCAGAACTTTGGGAGACTGAGGTGGGCAGATTGTTTAAGTCCAGGGGTTCAAGACCAGCCTGGGCAACATAGTGAGACCTTGACCCAACAAAAAAAAATTCAGCAAATTAGCTGGGTGTGGTGGTACATGCCTGTAGTCCCAGCTACTTGGGATGCTGAGGTGGAAGGATTGTCTGAGCCCAGGAGGGAGGTTGAGACTGCTGTGAGTTGTGATCATCATGATCATGCCACTGCACTCCAACCTGGCAACAGAGTGAGATCCTACCTCAGCAACAACAACAACAACAACAGAGAGATGCATGAAGCCACTGGTCCAGGCACTAGAGCGTGGGAGCCACTACTCTCCACCTGCTAACTACTTGCAGAAGTACCCATGTGTATCTGAAATGACAAGATCCTTCCCCTGTAAAAATCAGTCACAGAACCAGGCGGTCTGTGCAGGGGCCCTGGCTTTCCCCTGCTCAGCAGCCACACAAGGAAGTCACAGTGAGCTGCTCGCTCCTTCCCCTGGTGTCTTCAAGAATGTGTGCCAGCACTCCAGGTGAGTGAGATGCAGGGACAAGCCCTCAGGCAAGGTGGTTGGAGCAGAGGGACACAGATCCCAGCTCATTCCTCCATCTCAGTCACCAAAGAGCAGGCTCCTCTGTTTCAGTGTTCACCAACAGATTGCAACAGCAATGAATCCCTCTCCCTAGCTCCCCAGGGCTGCCTCTCATATACGCAGTACATGTAAGGCCCCAGAAAGGCACAAAAGGCCCATCACACACAAGACCAGGGTCTCATGCCAGCCCAAACTCGGCGGTGGCCAGGATGGCCACCATCCTGAAAAGCAGAGCAGCAGAGCACCGCGTGCACAGTGACTCATGGTCTTCATCATGGTGTGAGAAAAGGGTTGGTTTCCAGTTCCTCAGAACAAACACCATCAGGTGTGCTGTATGAAACATCTCGTGAAAAGCCTGTACCAGGAACCCCTGTTCTGTAAAGTGACCCCAGGAGACTCATCAGATAATTTCCCTTCCAGGACCCCTGCTCTATCTGTTCCTACCTGTGATTATGGATTCAGTCACCGTGGCCTCCAGGCAAAGCTCACTGATAGACAATGTCCAGCTCTCCACTCTGCCCTCCCAACAATGGAGACTATATAAAAGTGATGTGTGAGCCGAGCGTGGTGGTTCATGCTTATAATCCCAGTCGCCTTGGGAGACTGAGGTGACAGAATTGCCTGAGTCCAGGGGTTCGAGACCAGCCTGGGCAACTTGGCGAGATCTCATCTCTATAATAAATCAAAAAATTAGCCAGGCGTGGTGGTATGCACCTCTAATTCCAGCTACTTGGAAGGCTGAGGTGGAAGGATCACCTGAGCCCAGCAGGTCGAGGCTGCAGTGGCCATGAGCGTGCCACAGTACTTTAGCCTGGGTGACAGAGTGAGATACCAACTCAAAAAAAAAAAAAAAAGTGATGTGTGAAGCAGTGCTGCCTGGATCAGGAGGCAATATGTGCTAGAGTGTCCCATGGCCCCAGGGCTGCCTGATGGGGAGAGAGGGAATGGACAGGCACATGGAGAATGCAGGCTCATGGCCAGTGACCTACAGGTGGGTGCTGCTGGGGGAATGGCTCTACAGAGGGGCGAGGCAGCACAAGGGCCACAAGGTGAGCACAGGGACCACGGCCAGCACGTGGATGGACAAAAAGGCTAGAGTCACCAGCTGGTAAGAAAGCTGGACAATTCTGGTGACTGCCTAAGCCCAGGAGGTCGAGGCTGTAGTGAGCCATGATGGAGCCATTGCACTCTAACCTGGGTGACAGAATGAGACCCTGACTCTAAAACACACACACACACACACACACACACACTCTTACACACTGCTGAAGTGCAAAGTGTGCATCTTTGTATTCTTCTTGATCTTAGGGAGAAATTTCAGTCTTTCACCACCACATAAATGCACCTAATACTACTGAACACATAAGAGTGGTTAAAGGCAACCCCTTTGGGTCCTCTCCCACTGTCCTCTCAATAAGTCCTGCTTTAAAAAAAAAGAGTGTTTAAGATTGTAAGTTTTATGCCATTTATATTTTGTTAAAATTAAAAGATATATAAGCCAGGCTCGGTGGCTTAGCCTGTAATCCCGCGCCTTTGGGAGGCTGAGGTGAGTGGATTGCCTGAGCCCGCGGGTTCGAGACCTGCCTGGGTAACTTGGCGAGACCTCATCTCTACAATAAATCAAAAAATTAGCCGGGAATGGTAGCGTGCACCTGTAGTTCCAGCTACTCAGAAGGCTGAGGCAGAAGCATCGCTGGAGCCCAGCAGGTCGAGGCTGCGGTGGCTGGGAGCGGCTACTGCACTCCAGTCTGGGCGAGAGAGTGAGACTCCAACTCAAAAAAAAAAGATATATAAATTACATATAAAAAAATATAAAGTATGTGGCCTTCATTGCGGTACTTCTGACTTGAGCCTGGCTGAAACAAATATCCATTTCAGGCATGAGGTGGTGCTGGTGCTGAACACCCTAGATAAAGTGCTCCCTGGAGGTCTCCATGCCCCAAATAAGGTAACCAACTTACTAAAACACCAAGAGGCAGGCAGAGAGCCAAGAAAGTAAGAACGTGCCAGACTAAAAAGGCCAGTGTGTCCGCCTGCCTTGGGCACACTGAGACCTGGCAGTGTCTGCAGCTGGAAGGCCAGCCTGGTCGCTGGGGCACACCCCCAGGTCCTACATGGCACAATGTCATCAGCCCTATCAGTGGGCAGCAACAGTAGCAGACACTGGCAATACAACTCTCAGATGCAAGTCACTTCTCGTGAGGCAGGAGAATGGAAAAACACCAATCCTAGTGCTGGAGATTCTGGAAGTAGAACTGCTACCCCCAGACTTGCCGCTGCATACATACTGTTTCCTCCTGAGCACTGAGATGGGGGAAGCACCCTCAGGAGCTCTTCTCCACTGGGCTGCGGGGAGAAAGGCCATGGCAAAAGGTTCAGTTGAGGGGTGAGACTAGCCATCCTCCATCTGTCTGCCTTACCCAAGGGCACGGCCTGGGGCTCAGAGCCATAGGCCAGCCCTTGGCTGCCAGAAGGTGTCCTGCAAACACAGAGGACTCATGTGCCAGGAGAAAGGAGGCACTGCTGTGCACAGCCACTTCAGACCCAGGGATGGAGGTTCCGGAGTAGACTTGCAGCACTGAGGGCTTGGGGAGGGCTGACTACGTATTTTCCTTGAGGAGCAGAGAAGTTGGCAAAGGGTCACCCCTAAAATCCTTTCTAGAAACTAGACTGACCTGGGAGGGGTTTGGAGAGGACCAGGGGTAAGTGCCAGTGGGGTTTCTTTTGGGATGATGAACTTTTCCAAATTTAGAGTGGGCTGAAGGCTGCACAACTCTGTGCAAATACCACAAATTGTGGAGCCGTGTACTTTGAGGGGGTGGATTTTACTGTATAGCTAGCCCTCTGTATCTACAAGTTCCACACCCATGGATTCAATCAACCTTGGATCAAAAATGCAGTTAGGCCTACAATGGCTGCATCTGTACTAACCATGCACAGACATTTTTTTTCCTGTCATTATTCCCTAAAAAATAGAGAATGTCAACTATTTACAAAGTATTTACAATGTATGAGGGGGGACCTCTCCAAAAAAGGAAATTAAGTTTTGGAGGGCGAGTCCTTATAGTACAGGTTTCCCTTGCTAGTTAAGTGTCCTAGGAACCCATCAGCATCAGTATACCAGCTAGTGTTGTGTGAGAGGCTGCATTCAGCTTCAGTGAATTTTTTTTGGAGATTCTTTCAAAGCATTTGCCCATTTCATGATGGGTGATTTATGAGAACATGTGCCCACACCTACCCACACACTGTGCTGGTTTTTTTTTGTTTTTGTTTTTTTGAATTGGAGTCTTACTCTGTCGTCCTGGTTCGGCCACCCTGGCAGTGACCTGCTGGGTTCTGGTGATCCTTCTGCGTCAGCCTTCCAAGTAACTGTAACTACAGATGCGTGCTACCACACCTGGCTAATTTTTGACTTATTGTAGAGATGAGGTCTCACCAAGTTGTCTGGGCTGGTCTTGAACCCATGGGCTCAGGCAGTCCACTCACCTCGGCCTCCCAAAGTGCTGGGATTACAGGCTGAGCCTCTGAACTCAGCAATCAGCAGGTTTTGACCAAAATGGTGTGACACCTGTGTCACTCTCCCTATTCACCCAATCTCACCCCAAGTGACTTTTTTCTGTCTCCTCATATGAAAAAAGTCCTCAAAGGAAGATGTTTTGCCAATGTGAAAGAGGTGAAACAAAAAAACAGCAGAAACACTAAAAGATCTAATTTGATGAGTTCAGAAACTGTTTTGAGCTGTGGAAAAAGCATTACGATATGTGTATTGCATCAAACAGAGAGTACTTTGAAGGTGACTAAAGTTTAAACATGTAAGAATCAATAACAATCAATAACAATTTTTATGAATAAATTCCGTTGTTTGGGTCCCCTTCATATTAGGTATTATGAGTAATCTAGATATGTGGGAGGATATACTACACCATTTTATATCAGGGACTTGAGCATTCTCAGATTTCAATATGGGGGGGTCTTGGAACCATCCCCCGTGGACACTGAGGGACAACCATATATGAAATATATCTCAATAAAATGTTTTTTAAAAAAAGTTTCCGACCCACAACTGACATAGGACTAATAATAGAAAGCCTCGAGTGCAGTCATGATGAGGGCTACTTGTTTTTACCTAGGAGATCGGCCCCTTCATCCACGTCCCCGATGACCTCAGACCCTGCCGTCGACAGCTCATGGTACAGGGAGTCGGTGTTGATGCCAAAAGCTTTGTTCACGATGCCCTGGGTTGGGCTGTTGGGACACACAGGCCAGGAGAGAGAGCAGTTAGTGGGCAGCACTGACCAGCGGTACATCTGGCCCTTCTGTTGCCTCCCACCACAGCTAAGCCACGTACGTCAACACTGCACTGCAGGCCAGGTGTGGGTGAGAGGCGGTGGGAGACAGTCCTGTGAGAGAGGTTGCGGGATCGGGGGGGTACCTTCACCAAAGGGACCAGCTTAGGTGAATATAGAGCCTCCCAGGGCGCTGGGGACTGGGTGGAGTGAGCACCTGCTTCCTGTGCGGTCCAGGCGGGTCTCCGGACACATGTCTAGCTCTGGAGTGGAGTCAATAATGTCTTGAACGTCAGACCACTCGTCGCTGCTGCCCATGCCTGCAGGAGAGCAGAGTGGGACCTGGGGTCAGGAGTGGTCTGACAATCCGATCCTACTTACAGTGGTCCTCTCAACCTCTGTTTGGAGGCCTGAGGAAGACCGCCCAGCAAGCAGGGGTTATCAAAAAAGGAGTCCTCCTATGCTGGCCAGACAGACGTGGAACCCAGAACTGTGGGAGTCAAGAGCAGGGGAGGGGCCACAGTGGTCTGTCTGTGCAAGGCTATTCAGTAGTGAGCCCATCCCCCAGAGACCCATGTCTAAGAGAGTCCATGACTGCACCTCCCACCTCCTTTTCGTGATCTCATCGGAACAGCCAAACCTCCTCATCTTCTCTCTCTCTTACTAGACTGTGTGCTGTTGGGTGACAGCAGTCTACTGTTCTATGCTAAGTTGTGTCCCCCCAATCCAGAGGTTGATGGCTAACCCCCAGTGCGACTGTACTTGGAGACAGGGCCATTCAAGAGGGGACTAAGGCAAAATGAGGTCACTCGGGGAACCTAACCCAACACGACTGGAAAACTGTGGGAAGAGAAGACGAGGACACAGACATGCAGGGGGTGACCCTGGGAGGGCACCAGGAGAAGACAGCATATACGCGCTCAGGAGTGAGGCCTCAGGAGGGGCCAGCCCTGAGCTGCCCTGATCGTTCTGCCTCCGGGACTGTGGGGACGAATAAGGCTTCTGCTGCCTGGACCTCTTATCTCTGGCATCTGTTTTGGCAGTCCTAGTAGACTACCACATCCACCACACTAAAACCTGCATGAGGTAGAGAAATCTCCCCAGACATGAACAGGGGCCCAAACCCTGGCTGCGGGCACTGCACACCTATGCTGACGTTGCGCATCTCCTGGGTGACCTGGACTTCCATGTTGCGGCTGTTTCGCTTCTCCCGGGCTCGCTTGCTGTTCTTTGTGCTACCGCCATAGTCCCCCAGGGGCTGCAGGCTCTCATTGAGGGGTGTGACCGCAGCCGAGGGCACAGAAGACGTGGGTGTGTTGGACTTGGTGCCCGTGGTGCTGGGTGTGGCAGCTGCGGAGGATTGGCCTGACTCAGACATCTCATCTTGTGGACACTAGGGTCAAACACAGGGGGAGGGAGGGCAAGTCACAACAGGTCACCGAGCCCGCAGCTCTGGTGTGGCCACCTGAGGCCCCATTGCTGCACAGCTCTGCCACTTTGCTGCAGTCATGACACTGCACCTGGTCTGCAGCAGCAAGGGCTCCCTCTGCCGCCTGTCGGGCTAATTCTTTAGGGCCTAGTCACTCCTGAGAGCTTCCCAGAAGCAGCGCCACCTTATTGCAATGGTTTGGAATGGGGCTTTCAGCTCACCCCTCCACTGGACAGTCCAATGACAACACTATATATAGGACATTGCGGGCAACCCTCTGCAGCTAGTGGCCGGTCAGAAACAAGCTGCAGCCCGGGGTAGGACAAAGGCTTAAAATGGGGACCCAGGACAGAGCCAGCAGGGCCCATGCCATGTCACTGAGTCATCAGTGTGCTGTGAGGCACTTGAGGCTGGTCCCACCTGTTTCTGTCCCTGCTTTCCTTCACTACCCAGGGGCCACCTGCTCAGCTCTGGAGGGGCTAGGGAGAGGACGTGATGCTGGGCCCCACAGTTCAACTGGACCAGAGCTTTGCCTGAACACCAACACAAATTCAAATAAACAGAAGTTCTGTTTTTACAGAGTAGGGTATCACTACAATATTCTGGGGGTAGAGGAGAAACCCAGATTATCGAAAGCTGCAGTCAACTGTTTACCTTAAGAATCTCATTAGGGAGAAACACGTTCTGTTTGACTACTATGGGACATGACACAAACACATTCTTTCCAGTGATCTCTCCTAATGAAGATGTTGGACAATCCCAAGAAATACTCCTCTATTCGCTGATACTGATAACCCCCAAACAGCAGCAGCTTGCCTGTGGCACCCGGCTTACCTCCCTTGTGGTGCAAGAAGGGGCAAGGCCTCCAGAGGGCGCCCAGGCTGCTTTCCTAGGTGACACCAGGAGGCTCCCTGTGCACCTCCCAGGCTGGCCCTGTACAGAGTCCTGCGGTGGCCCCAGCAGGCATGCCTTAGGGACTTTCTAAGGCTAAGGATGCTTGTCCTGTGATAAGTTGATGAAAGAGGGGGCGTCCGGTCCTCTCCACAGCTGGGTGAATGCTGAGACCTGCCTTTAACTGAGCAGGGAACACAGAGTTCCCAGAAGTCATGAGCAGTTCTGACACCTGCCTTTGCCTGACCCCTTGGGTCACCACCAGCCGGAAGGCAGGGAGGCCTCTCAGTCCTGGACACAGCTACCTCCTTAAAGTGTGGATTTCTGGCTTCATTGACCAGGCTCCTAAATTTCTCTAGAAGAAATAGCTACAGTACACACCTTCCTCTACAGCAGCAGCTCTCAACTGGGGTGACTCTGCCCCCAGCAGGGCAGACAATTTTGGGTGTTACAATCGAAGAAGGGATTCTGGCATCCAGTGGGTGGAGGACAGGGATGTTGCCCAGGACAGCCCCACAACCAAGTACGAGCAGCCCCAGCATCCACAGTGTCGTGGGGAGAAACCTCACATCACACAGAGTACTCCCTCCTGGAAGTGGCTCAGCAGAAACACCGCAGATTGAGGTGTGGGCTCTCTAGCCTATGCTCAAGTTGAGAAGAAAACAAGTCTTTCTCTTCATATCACCACCCAAACTAGATGAAATGGGTCTCACTCACACGACAAGTCTTTGTGATGAAGCTCTCAAGGAACCTATCTACCCCACACATCAGAGGCACCCGGTGTCCCACCGGATGTGCAGCCCTCTGCTGCCACCCAGCAGAGAACAGGGACCTCCACACAGACCAGGAGCAGGGTGAGAGTGTGAATCAGACCAACACTTCCAGATCACCTTCCTCCACAGTCGTGTCCCAGCCTCGTCATGGTCCTTTTGGTGACTATGGGAGATTCTGTGGTCTGACTGCACCTCCCCCAAGCCCCCCTAGTTCTCTGTCATCCTATGGGGCCACCACTTACCCATGGGACATCCCCCTGGCCACAACTTACCTAAAGGCAAACCTCTCAACCTCCTAACATCAACGTGTGGCGTGACCTCCAAGTGCAAAGAACCCACACTCAGCGGTCATTCCTCACCATGAGTAGCCACAACCGTGTGGTTAAAACACTGAAAATACAGCACACAACACAAAACAAACAAAACAACAAAAATTAAGAAATTAGAAAAACCTTAAACCTAGAGCATAAAATAAAAAGAACTTAAATGTAACTTTTTAAAAAAAGAAAAGTCAAATAAAACACACCTATGAACTAAAACATAAAACACTACAATTTATGAAGAGAAAGACTATTTCAGACAATGCAGGAGGCAAAAGAAGAGACATCAGGAGAAGAACACGGTCCAGACACAGGTATGACGGGGAGTAGGGGCTGGAGGCCAGAGAGGATCCACCAGAGGCTCCCTGTGGCTGAGGATCATGTGATTTCCTCAACGCTTACATGCAAGTCCCAGCTACAGGCCCAGGGTGAGTGTGAGCTGTCGAAATAAATGGCCGGGGCCCAGGGGAGCCAGATCCCACAGGCCAAGGCTGGAACCACAGGGCTTACTGCCTTCTTCCCAGAGCACAAAGACTGGCAGGACAGTCGATGACTGGAGGGTGAGTGTCCCAGAGCAAACGTAGTAGCAGTGAGACTGACAGAGCTGGCGACTGCTGCAGCCTCCTGCAGGCAAGCTGGACACTGAGAGGTGGAAGGACAGTCAGCAGTGAGTCGCAGCAGGAAAGAAGTTTCCAGAGAAGCCATAGATCCCACCAACCCAACCAGCTCAGAGGCCCAGGGGCTGTGTTATCCAGCGGCTTTCATGGAAATCTGTTAGACCCAGGGCTGTCTCCTCCCTGCAGAGGGTAGCAATCCTTACCTGGCCAAGAGGCCAGAGTCCTGTCTTGCGACAGTCTACCCCAGCTAAACAACCTGAGCTCACAGACCAAAACTGGCAGCAAGTGACCTGGGGCCCTGAACAAGTGACTGGCTTTCTTTGGACCCCTGAACTCTGTGGTGCACTCACTGGCTGGCTGTACATACCTGGGAGCTGGGGGGAGGTGGGGTGGGTCCTGCCGTCTCAAACTCAAGAGTGAGGAGGTGTTATCAGGGGTAAGCAGAGAAAGGCCCAGAGAAGAGAAGCAACCTTCTTGCCTCTGCCCTTCTCCCAGCTGAGTGCAAACCTCAGACTTAGACATTTACATTCCTATAAGTAGGGTGAGCTCTCAGGAAAAATATACCTGGCTAGAGTCCGGTCTGAGGGTGAGGTTTGTAACTTGGGGTATGCTTTGGCATATGGTCACTAAGCTCCACCCTGACAGACCCTGGACATCCCTGGCTGAAGGGCAGTCTACCTGAGGAGCAGAGAGGTCTAGCCTGGATCACCGGGAGCACGCAAAGCCACATGGAGCATCTGCAGTAGCACAGGACCTGCCCTGTGGCATGAGCCCTTGGAGAGCTCCGCCTGAACAGACAAGGGTGCCAGCAACAGGGAAAGAGCCCCTCACTCCATGGCATGGCTACAAAACCTGGTAGCTGGAGCTGGACTGCAGCTGGCCGAGGTCACTCAGGTGCCAGTGGTCCCCCGCAGGCACAAGCTTGCCCCCCATCTGTGCACGTACCATGCCGTCAGCCAGGGGGAAGACATTCAGAGAGGTGGGGCGCTCCTTCCTGCTGGAATGCGAGGGAGAAAGGGAAAGGAAGCGACAGTCAGATGGCAGCATGGAAAGAGAACCTATGCCCCCTCAGGGCCCGCAGACACCCACGCTGCCACACAGCTGCTTGAACATCACCTGCAGCCTGGCTTGGGGGGATGTGGCCATCTGGGCAGCTGCCTTCACACATCCAGGGAAGTCTCTACTCAATTATGATCCCACGTACAGTTCCCCTTCCGTTATGCTGTCATCTATCACTTTTACTTAGGTCAGTTTTTTTTTTTTGAATTGGAGTCTCACTCTGTCGCCCAGGTTGAAGTGCAGTGGCATGCTCACAGCCACCGCAACCTTGACCTGCTGGGCTCAGGTGATCCTTCCACCTCAGCCTTCCAAGTAGCTGGGACTATAGGTGTGTACCCTTACATCCAGCTAATTTTTTGATTTATTGTAGAGATGAGGTCTTGCCAAGTTGCCCGGGCTAGTCTCGAACCCGTGGACTCAGGAAATCCTCTCACCTTGGCCTCCTCAAGTGCTGAGTTACAGGCATGAGTCACTGTGCCCGGCCTACACAGTTTAGTTTTAAATAGACACCTGCCATGTGTGCCAAGAAATCCCACCACAGAGCCAGTGACAGGACTTAGACAACATGGCTGGCACTGACTGGTTGCTCTGAGTAGTGACTTTTACTACAAAGGCCTTTTTTTTAGTTAATGTATGAAAATTTATTACTACAGTGTTTTCACCATCAAAGTTTATGACCTTCATCTTTCCTTCTTGACTCTACCTAGGGCCAAAAGAAACATAGGCTACTCAGACAACCTCAAAGCAGACTCTAGGAATAGCCCCAATAGCATGGCCTTTCTGACAAAATCCAGCAGCCAGAACTTCAGTGTTTTCCTCAGTAAAGTTCAAGCCACCATCACTGGGCACACTGGCTGTGATTCTGTGATTTTCTTGCTGTTATCAGTCAGTGGGATCCTGGCACTTTCTGTTGGTAGAATCTGGCTGCTTGGCTTCAACCCCTACTTTTTCCAGCACAATTCCCTTTGTATGGGAAACACCTCTACTCTTCAGGGCGCTGCCCAAGGAGCTTTCTTATATTGTTTATCATGCCATTTCTGGTCTCGCTGGTGATTACAGAATTTCCTGGTAGTATGAGGTCCATGGCACTTGCCAATCCTGCTGGCACCACGGACCTCAGCAAAAAAGCGAATGGTCATTCTTATGCAGTGCCCAGACCTGCCTCCTATTACCTTCAGCCTCGCCTCTGCCTCCTGGTGCCAACAGAGGGAACACATCTTTCTGCTTCTCTTCTTGGTTCCTTGTCCCCCTCCTGTCCTCAGTGTTACTTTTTTTCATAAGGCTATCTCATTGTCCAACATCTTTGGACAAGATGTGTCCAGGGTAAAGAGTGTCCCTGATGTCTGCTGAAGCCTACGGGGTGTCTTCTCCTTCCCTGTGAGTCTTCCCCAGCCTCCATGGAGACCAACACTGAAGATGAGGCCTTTGAAAGCTTGCCTGAGAAAGTGGAGATGTTTGAGAGGCTGGGGTTGCAAGAGCAACACTTGATGCCACTTGCTGGGGGCTCAGTCCCTGAGAAGACCTTCTGTGGGTCACAAGAAACAGGGGTGGCAGAGGCTGAGGTTCTCACTCCATGTCCTCCTCTGTTGGAGGCTTACACGGAGGCACACATGTCACAGAGACCAGGCCAACTCCCCATCCTCCTTGGGGCCTGGGGGGACAGATCACGTGGTCAGATGCTGGTGCCATGCTGCTTGGAGCTGTCCAGGCAGAGCATGAGTGATAAATGTATGAAATGTATGAGTAATAAATGTATGAAAACACTAACACTAGCCCATGACTGTGAAGGGGGGGTGCGTTTCTTCGGGGACCCCAAGGAGCCCAGTCTGGTGCCCTTGAAGAATGCAGATGATGACAAGGGAGTGAGCATAGAGGCCACTGCTGAGTAGAACTTCCTGTGGCTGGGTGGGCAGCTTTATGGAGTATGATTCTGGGAAGGGGTCTCTCTCTGGCTGAGGGGTACACATAACTCTGGGGACTTGCCAGCTAGGCTATTCCATTCAGAACAATGCCACCTCCTGCAGCGTGAGGCTACCTGGGCGTGCTGGCACTGGGCTGTGCCAGCTTGGTTGCCCGTGGTACCCGAGGTGTTTTTTGACAACAGCCGTGAGGCCCTTTACTGCTGTGAAGGCAGCCAGCTGCCAGGCACAGGAAGTACAGTCCTGGGGCTCCCCCAGGTCTGCTTGTGCATTACTGCCACGCTGTTTCCATTGGGCTCCCAATTCCATCACAGGGAACCCCTCTCTTGGGACCCAGTGCTAACTTCATCAGGCACATGGCTGGGTGGAATGCATCAAGGGGCCCCTAGATCCATGCCAATGCAGTCCTTGCTGTCTCAGATGCTACAGGTGACAGCAGGGAACAGAGTAGGGCCTTTGGCCTCACCAAGGAAGAGGGAATACACTCATGGGTCACCTGCTACCACAGTGCCATGCTGGGCCACAGTGCTGTGCTCAGCCGGTGACTGCCTCCCATGGACATCTGCTTGGAGCAACTGCCTCTTGCTTTTCTTTGCTCCTTGCACAGACTCACACACAGGCCTGGCCTCCGAGATCCGTGAATGCTTGGTGGCATTGCCACTTGATGGGCAGTCCCATGCTCAGGGATCCTGTGCTCTCATTTCATTCTTGCAGCTCCCTCGGGGAATGCAAATGCCCCTCCATTTTGGAGACCACTGCCCTCAGGAGTCATGCCACCTGCAGGGGTCACCACCATGCTACTTACAAGGGTCACATGTTGCCTGCTGGGGTCAGAGTCACACCATCAGAGGTCATGGGTACACCGCCCATTTTTGGGTGCAGGGTAGTAAGTAATCAAGCATGGCTATGATTCCAGGTCATCTCATGGGGAGGGAAGGCCTTCTCCTGCCTGTCGCCTTACGAGTCAGTGCCAGCACCACTTGGGATGCACATGGCTCACTGGTGGAAGTGGTCACCATGATTTCCAATCTGTGACCAGGACAGGGCAGACACGTGCTGAGCAAGGGGCAGAATGTAAGCCTGTGCTGTGTGGCTGTATCGGGGATCTCTGGCCTATCCTTCACCTCCTCAGTGTCAGTCTCATGAATGCTACTGAAAAGTACTTCCTTTTTTAACAATTTTTTTTACTTATTATTATTTTTTGAGAGATAGGACTTTGCTATATTGCCCAGGCTGGTCTCAAACTCCTGGCCTCAAGTGATGTTCCCACCTAGACCTCCCAAAGTGCTGGGATTACAGGAATGAGCCACCATGCTCAGCCTACAAGGCAAGTACTTCTGATCTGTGATATCAGCTGCAGAAAATACCTTGAAGTAGGTTAAGGACTCTCATGAGCTGGTAACTGAAATGATTTTTTCCTTGGACAACCTCAATGCCCTCTACGCCCAGCACCACAATGGATAAATCCCCACAGGCTTTACCTTTTCCTCCACGACTGGCGAGGACTGCAGGGCAGCGACAGACAATGGCAGCATACAGCAGTGACAGCACAAGGGGCAAGACAAGAAGACAGGCATTAGAGAGCGATGGGCAGGCCACACATGCACTCACATAGAAAAGTCAGCACACAGTGAGGGTGACACTCAGGGCCCCAGTGTGTGCCCCCTTCGTGAACAGAAGTCACACACAGGCGTCTACACAGGACAGACATATGGTACACCAAAAGGCCTCTGGAAGGGTCTGTGTGGCAGTTCAGCAGATAACACACATCACCAGTGCAGGGCGGCAAATGGATGGCCTCTCAGCACCCAGCACATGTGTGTACGTGGCATGCGGTGACAGCACACACATAGCCACATGCAGACACACACAAGTTCCCGCTCCTGTGGCCCCTGCAGTGGTGTCAAGGGACACTGACTAGTGTCTCATATCACATTTATTCTATAGACACACAGACTCAGACAACCAAGCCAGGAGTGAAGGAAAACACCCGTCGGGGCTCAGGAGTGTTAAGCTCAGCTCTGAGGACAAATGAGAAACCTCGGGGGGACTGAGGAGTCTGGGCTGGGCAGACAGGACAGACTCAAATATGTGTCTCCCAGAAGACCGGAGGTTGTGGCAGGAGAGAGTCCATGCCACAGAAGAGACAGCATCTGGCAAAGACAGTGGGGCAGGGTCCCTGCACCCCAACTGTGAGACCTAGCATCAGCAGGGATCAGAGGGACAGTCCCAGAGCCTCCGACCCAACAGTCAAACACTAGGGACAAGGAAAGAAGGGCTGTGCATTCTTTCTTTCAGCCAGTTCCTCCCTTCAGAGGTGTGGGGCTATGGCTGCTGTCCATGTCTGGGGTAGGGGCACACATGTGCAGTGTGCCTTGACCACCCTCCCAGCAGGGCCTGGGCCATGGGCAGCTGGTGCAGGGAAGGCATAAGCCCGGAGGAAGCACCTGACACTGCTGCAGCAGCTCAATGCCATGGGCTGGCGAGGACAGCTCAGCTATGGCCCTGCCCCTCTCGTTCCTGTTGCCCTGACCCTGTAGCATGTGCTTCTCATGGCCAAAGCATGCACAGGAAGACGGTGACCGCCAGCCCCCGTACTTTCTTCTGGCCAGGCAGGCATCTTCTCTTAGTGTGGAGGATCTGGCGAGGGGGGCGTCTGTTGACAGAGCTCACAGGGGTCCAGGGACTATAGCAATGCGACCACTCATACCTAGTCTTATGGGTCCCTTTCGGGCAGGATCAGCTCATGGCAACCAAAACTTTGTCATAAACCTGAACGAGAGAGCCCTCCTCTCCGAGACAGGCTGGAAGGTCTCTTTCACAAGCAGGGGGGCTCTGGGGACCTCGGGTGGATGTGAGGAAAGCCCTTGCCACGCAGCCACCATGGCTGGGGTTGCGCCCTTGCTGGTGCCGAAGACCCTGTGTGCCCAGGGGGTGCGAGTGGCTGAGGCTGGGCAACAGGACCGGGTCATGGTGGGACTGACAGAAGAGACCCCCAGATCCATCCCTTACAAAATGGGCCGAGGGCCTGCTTCTGACAGGTGTGTTCTGGTTCCCTGAGGAAGAGCCTGACATGGTCTTCAGGACCCTCTGCAGAGCTGAGGAGGGGACCCCATGAACAAGACCCATGTGTATCCAGGAGTCCTGCCTGCGAGAAGGGTGGCACCGACTGCAGGGCCGTGGGGCTTCTCTGTGGAGGGGAAGCTGGCTTCTCACAGGCTGGACTGCCAAGGGCAGGAGCTTAACTCTAAGCACCAGGGAAAAACCGAGGATCTGGCTCTGTGCCCAGGCCACATTCTCTCAGGACTATGGACTCCATAAGTGACACCTGGGCAGCAGGCTCCCAGATCAGGGCCTGCCTCACATGGTGATGGAGACGTCTATAACAAAGCACGCCTTCCCTCAGTCCTGGCACTCTTCCTTCTACATGTAGGGATGAGAAGGCCTGACCTGGCTCACCATGATGGCCCTCTGAGGCCAGCTCTGAAGCTTGGACAGTCTCTGCTTGCGTCTAAGCCTGTATGCCCTGAGGTCTCAGCATGTCTATTTAAGGGATGTCCCTGAGCCTGGGGATGACTGCTGCGACTCAGGACCTGGGCTCACTGCCTGCAGTGCTGAGTTCGGAGGCCACACCCCAAGGCTCCCGGGATGAGCTGGGCTTGCTCCTGCACTGCCGCTGAGGTGCTCCTCTCCTGAAGGTGCGCTGGCAAGGAGGCAGCTGAAGGTTCGGAAACACTGCAGCTGTTGGGGCTGGCCAAGCTACCTGCCTCTGCCCCCAGCTTGATGGCTCTGTTCAGCTCCTCACAAGGACAGCATGAAGACCCTTGGTTCCAGGTCAGATTTTAATTCCAGTACCTAGGAATCCTCTTGCCAACTTCTGAGAGACAGAAGTCAGGACTTCACAGTGAACTAAGGAGAAAACATCTATGACGTTAAGTGGTAGCCTGGAAATGATTATTTCCCAGATATGAGGACAATATCTGCGAGGTTCTAGAATCTGCCAAGCTCTTCCATCTCTATTACCTGGTGTAATCCTTGACCCCTTGCTTCAGAGGTCAACTGATTGCCAGCTTGTGCTGCCCTTTCCCGGGACCCCCACTCACTGCAATGGCTGCAGATCCTGCTTCCATCTGAGCACAGCAGGCCTGTCTCAAACACGCTGCTGGCTCCTTGTCACCTTCCCCGGTCTGCTGGGCCCTTGTGCACATGCTGCATCTGTTCTCATGTTAGAAGACTCAAAATCACATAACCTAGCCACTTTGTCCACAGTCATGCAGAATGTGACCCCTGAAGCCCAGAACTGAATGTCCTGAATGTTCTTGTTTGTAGGTGCAGTCCCCAGAACAGGCAGGCAAAGGAAGACTTTTGAAGCAACAATGTCTTGATGGGGCATGGCTGGAGACTTCCCAGGTCACTGCCCTGGTGGCAGGAGGCCTGGTTGCAGGAACGAGGAACCCCACCTCGAGCTGTCACCCAGCTCTGGAGGACAGGAGATTCTGACTTCAGGTCCCTCATCCCACCTGCTGGAGACTTAGAACGTCGGTGCCAACCTCCCTGGCCCAGTTCACCATCTCTGGTCTCCCATAGGCTGATCCCTTGAGTGGGCAACGCCCTAGGTGAGGTCTCTGACAGTCTACTTCCTGGGTCTGTGGTCCAGTTTTATCCTGACTCAAAGGGCCTGGAAAAAGGAGAAGCCCAACCTTGGCAGGCTTCTCCTTATACCCTGAGCAAAACTAGCACCAGGTCCAGAACCTGGGCCCAAAGGGCCTTGACATTGGCTAGTATCCTCTTGCCCTGTAGTGGCATGAGGCTCCGCGTGGGGCTCAAGATGTCCTGGCCTCCTTCTCCCCATCCACGTGGACACATCGGGTTATTTGAGGTAGTAGGTTCTAGAAAGTCACTGCAAACACTAAGCCATTGTCCCAAGGGGAAATCCTATGTAAACATATAAGATTATGATCTTAAATCCTAAAAAGTTGTTTTAAAGGATTTAAATCCTTAAATCTTCATACCAGTTGAGTCTATTTTATTTTACAAAAAAGAAAAGGGATTCAGAAGCACACAGTGACTAGCCCAGGTCACTTCACTAACCAGCCTCAGAGTCGGCTCTGTGTGTGACACTGTTCAGTCCTGCCATCTCCCCCTGGGCATGTCAGCATGAGCTGAACAAGAGGGCAGAGTATTGCCTTGTCCACCTCAGTGGAACCCTGCACGTGGACTCAAATTTTTTCCTGCTGTGTGTTGTCTGCAGACAATGGTGAACATGCTGTATTTATTTTCTCACTTTACTTTTTCTAGAGATGGGGGTCTTGCTATGCTGTCCAGGCTGGACTCAAACTCCTGGGCTCAAGCAATCTTCCCACCTCAGCCTCCCCAGTAGCGGGGACTACAGGTAAGCATCACCAGCCCAGCTTAATATTGATTTTGAGGTCACAAATATATTTCAGTGAATAGGCAATTCTGCAAACACAGAGTCTGCGAACGATGAGGGTCAACTGGGCAACCTCCCCTCAGCCTCCACGACTGAAGTGAGGACCAAGTACAAGGAGCACGGGGGGGCTTCAGCACATGTCCCTCAGAACCCCAGGCGGCCACCACACATTCCTGCTCAGCTGCACTTCAGCCAGCTCCCGCCTGGGTTAGTGACGGAAAGTTTCCAGAGCACCCTCATCTCCCCGACTTCCAGCAGCCCCTCGCTCTCCTGGCTGCCAGCACCCCCGCGCTCTCCAGACCACTAGTGTCCCCTTGCTCTCCTGACCGCCAGAGCACCGGCCAGGATGGGCTGTGGCTGGACTCTGTGGGCACCACCACCCACCGTACCTCCGCCCAGGCAGGCTGCTCTCAGTTTGGCTGTTTCCCCCGACCTGCTGCATCTTGGATCTCTCGATGTGCTCCACGTAGGTCTGTATCATCTGCGGGAGGAAACCTCACATCAGCGTGGCTGGCAGAAGTGCTCCCTCCCCCTCCCCTGTGAAGGATTCCTGGCATGCTGCATGCTGACAGAAATAAAGACAAGGATCCATGGAGGGACCGTATCCAGCACAGGGTTGACACTAAAACGCCAGAACAAGGAGCCACCAGGAAAGGCAGCCACAGGCCCTAATCTTGTGCCCCGTGCATGCCTGTCCTACGGGCTATAGACTAGTGGCTGCCAAGGCACCCACCTCTGTGTGCCGTTGGTGCAGGGCATTGTACTCCTTCTTCATCTCCGACTCTCGCTCCTCCAGCCGGGAAACTAGAAAACATAACCACTGGTTGTCAACTGCACAACATGCTTCTCTATGCTTTGTACTTCTCTGGGCTGTAGGCACAGAGGGCAGAGGGTTCAAGCACAGCATCAGAGCTCTGATGCGGTGTAGCCAGCAGCCCCTCAAGTGCAAGGGACCTCTATCACCAGGAGAAGATCCCAAGTACATGAGAAAGCGAACTCTGACCTGGTTGGTATGGGGTCAGTACTGTGTGTGCTATACCACCTGAGAATGTTCAACTCTGCTATGAAGGAGAACACGATGGGGACGCTCACAAAAGCTATCTGCACTAAAGAAGCTTAGGGCCTCTGAGATGTGGGCAGGACTCATGAGATGTGCCAAGTGCAGGCAAGAAGTGAGAGAGAACTTTTTGGGAATTCAAAGTGAGATGTGTTAAAGGGCGACAGGCTACCAGAAGCTCAAGGAGGAACAGACAGCAGAGTCCCTTAGACATGCCAAGGGCTGGGGAGACCAAGTCATGACCATGGCTCCTCCTGGGCTAACAGCCATGTCTCTCCTAACTGGGAGGCCCCTGATGACACTGGGATGGTCATCTCTGGCCTGCATGTGCTCTGCCCAAGAGATGCACAACAGGCTAACTGGCAGCTGCAGCCAGGTGACCCTGCCCTGTATCCTGGCAGCAGAGCATATGTGCCACCAGCCTTGATGCCTTCCCCTGTGGCTGTGTGTTCAAACTTTAGCTCTTCACCACATGGGGCAGCTTGGTTCTATCACCAGCTTGGCTCTGTCCTCAGGGCGTGGCCCTCCCAGCTTTCCCTGGTTTGCTGGTGTCTGCTCTAAAATGTCTTTATAAACTATATGGCTCATCAGCTCATTTTGACCTGTGCTCTCCTGCTCTGTGACCTAGGGCGTGGCCTGCCTGGCATTGTACCAAGAGGCTACCGCTGAGTAGCCTGAGTGTCTGCATTCCAACAACACGACCAGTGATGTGGATGCCAGTGTGGGGATCCCACTCTGATTAGCAGCTCAGGTGTCAGCACAAAGCAGTCAGTTGATCTTCCCTAGAGTAGCCTGGAGTATTTACAGGCACTGCACACAACACACATGACTTACGGACACTATATATAACACATATGACTTACAGATATTATATGCAGCACACGACTTATGAACATAGCACACAACACATGTGACTTAGGGATACTGCACACAACACTCATGACCTAACAGACACTGCAACGAACATACGCAACTTATAGATACCACACAACACACATGTAAGTAGCTGCTAGAGGTGGGAGCAGACCGCCCAGGAGTGTTCTGATCCAGCCTCTTCTCTATCCTAGGAGAGGTTGCTTGCCCGTGCATGTGTCCCTGAGAGGACTGTGGCATCCGAGCCTCAAGACCTCTCTGTGACCACTGCTGGGGCAGTGTACAGCCAACACCTGGTCTCTCTGCTCATGTGGCCCTCACTCTTGGTGCCAGCCAAATGAATAACCTCAGCTTGTAATTTGAGTTTATTTTTTCCTTCCAAGAAAAGAGCTGAGAAGGTTTCACACATAAAACACATTTTAAGGAAAGGGAATATTAAAGATTCTGTATAACTAAAGAAAGGATTTAGCCAGGCTCGGTGACTCAGCCTGTAATCCCGCGCCTTGGGAGGCTGAGGTGAGTGGACTGCCTGAGCCCGTGGGTTCGAGACCTGCCTGGGCAACTTGGCAAGACCTCATCTCTACAATAAATCAAAAAATCAGCTGGGCATGGTAGTGTGTGCCTGTAATTCTGGCTACTCGGAAGGCTGAGGCGGAAGGATGGCCGGAGCCCAGCAGGTCGAGGCTGCGGTGGCCGGGAGCGGCCACTGCACTCCAGTCTGGGTGACAGAGTAAGACTCCAGCTCAAAAAAAAAAAAAGAAAGGGTTTATCTATGCATGCCGAATGGCCTGGAAGCTTGCTTCTACTTTGCAAACACTCTCCTATTTATATGTGTACGGAAGCCACTGGCTCTGTGGCCAGCATTTATATGTGTATGGAAGCCACTGGCCCTAGATGCTCACACTTGTCAACATATCACTAGCCCCAGCAAATTGGCCTTTGGGTCTTGGTTTGAGAGAAGGATGAGCCTAATATATCAAAATAGTTTCACCTCCAATTTGATCTTAACTTTTCAGAGAAATGACAGCACCTGCTATCCATGGTAACTAGGTAAAGCAGCAAAACAGGCTTCAATCATCAAATTGTCTAATTAGGGAAAACTAAAATGACACATGTAATTGTAACATTGACAGTATAGTTTAAGCAAAGACTTCTGAAAAGTAAACCAAGTGTTATAATAATAACAATAATAAGCCCGCCATGGTGGCTCATGCCTGTAATCCCAGCAGTTTGGAAAGCAAAGGCAAGAGGATTGCCTGAGCCCAGGAGTCGAGACCAGGCTGGGCAATTTGACAAGACCTCGTCTCCACAATAAAGAAACAAATAAAAATTAGCTGGGCACAGAGATGCGTGACTGTAGTTCCAGTTACTTGGAAGTCTGAGTTGGAAGGATCGCCTGAGCCCAGCAGATTGAGGCTATGGTGGCTGTGAGCAAGCCATTGCACTCCACTCTGTGTGACAGAATCAGACTCCTACTCAAACATACAAATAAAAAGAAGTAAAATAAATAAACCCATTTTTGTACCTTACCTTTAAGGAGACAGACACCCTTGATCAGCCATGAACCCCACCCAGGAACTGCCCCTCCAGTGGGGGTTCCACCAGTGCGCCCACCCTTTACCTCAAGAAAGAGTTGTCACTCCTCAGCAGGGTGAAGAGGTGAGGACTCCAGAGGCCCAGAGAAGGACCCAGAGGCCCACAGGAGGACCCAAAGGCCCACAAGAAGACCCAAAGGACCACAGGAGGACCCAGAGGACCACAGGAGGACCCAAAGGCCCATAGAAGGACCCACAGGCCCACAGAAGGACCCAGAGGCCCACAGGAAGACTCAGAGGCCCATGGGTTTGTGATTTGGGGATTAGAACACAGTATGAAGCAGAAGTACTGTGTGACATAGGGGCCTTACTTATTTCCACAGAGTAACTGAGGCCATTAAAGAAGTGCCCAGAAGTGTAAAGAGACAGACTAAGTGGCTGAGAGAATCACGGTGAGAATGAAGTAAGGCAGCCATCTGGTTTCCTCTAATCTCTTTGTAACGAAGGATTTCAATGTCCTTCCCAGCCAGACCTGTCTCAGCACATGCAATGTGACTTTAGCTCTCTGCCAGCTACTTACTCTGATCTGCATAGTTCTTGGCCTTCAGTTCCAGCTGGCGTGTCTGAAACTCATAGTGCTCCACCTGGATCTGAAGCTCTTTCTTCTCTTGTTCCAAGGCATCTTCAAATTCAATGAATTTCTATGTACGAAAGAGAGAAGAAGAGTGGGTATCGTGAGTGCCTAACAGTGCCCTCCACCTGAAGGGTCACAGGCTTCAAGGACCCAGAGATCAAAGACGTCCTTAAAGCCAGGAGCTGGCCAGTGGCAGGACCAGAATGGGGTTCTCCCCACTCCAGACTCCAAGTCCCTGCCACTCCTTAGGCAAACCTTGACACAGATGAGCCATGAGAACAGGCCAAGAAGAGTCCTCTAAGACTGAATAACTGCACATTCCTCTTCAGCTAATGGCATTTGCAACCCCTGGTGATGCCAGCTTTCTCCTGTCCAGCAAGAATTTGGTGTGAAAGAAGCCTATCATTCCAATTAAGGATCCCTTCACGCACATGAGTGACCCAGGCAGTCATACAGGATCCTGCACTCAGAAGGCCCAGGCTCCGTTTAATACTTTGCTGTTATAAATTTTTTAAGAGTTGGGGGTCTTGTTCTGTGGCCTATAGTGGAGTGCAGTGGTGCAATCATAGCTCACTGCAGCCTCAAACTTCTGGCCTCTAGAGATCCTTTTGCCTCAGCCTTCCAAAGTGTGTGAACCACCATGCCCAGCTTACAAATTTTTAATAATTTTTGAATAAGGGGCCCCACATTCCAGTTTTGCACTGGGCCCCACAAATTAGGTAGCTGTTTGCAACAGGGTAGTATTCCTCCTCTCAGTACTAAATCTCAGAGCAAGGTAAAGCCTGCTTTTCTGTATCTCAAATCATGGTCCAGCTCAGGATGCCATCATTACTAAAATAACCAGCAACACAAATACTTGCTCCTAGGCCTTCAAAAAAAAGGGGGGATTAGTTTAGGTTTGGAATCTTAACTTTACATGCTAAGTTTCGGAGCAAAATTATTATCAAATCAAGTGAAAAGAAAGCACTTTGCAAAGTAAAGGAAGCTCTTGAAAGATCTGAGGAGCAGAAATATCAGTGAAGCTGGGGTGTGGTCAGGCTGCAGGGAGGGGTCAGCATCAGGCAGAAACCCAGACCACCAGGTGTAATTCCTACAGCAGCCCAGAAGGGGAGCTGTTGAAACCTCGATTTTATTGAGTGTCAAACTGGGGGACGTATATGTATTTTTTTCTTTTTGAGTCAGGGTTTTGTTCTGTCGCCCAGGTTAGAGTGCACTGGTGTGATCATGGCTCAATGCAGCCCCCAATTCCTGGGCTCAAGTGATCCTCCCGCTTCAGGCTCTTGAGTAGCTAAAACTATAGGAGTGTGCCACGGAGCCAGGCTACTTCTTTAAAAAATTTTTGTAGAGTTTGGGTCTTGCTATATTGGCCAGGCTGGTCTTGACTCCTGGCCTCGAACAATCTCTACACCTTGGCTTCCCAAAGTGCTAGTATTACAGGCATGAGCCACTGTGCCCAGTCAAAACTGGGGAATATTATCAAGAAATTTCATTTGCAGGAAGCACAAATATCAGCTGGGTTCTTAAGACAAAGAGTTTCTCAGAAGATGGGAATATAAAACTGACGGTTGACTTCAGGTGTGGAGTATCTCGAAGAGTAGACGAATTAGTGGTGGCCACAGCTGTGCTACCTAGAATAACTACCCATTTCCCCACCTGGACACCAGGCCCCTAGATGCTTCTTCCTACAGCAGTTTCCAAAAAGGTATTTGTGCTGAAAACCACCGGGGCTCCTGCCCAAAGGATGACTCACTCCGTGCAGTGGTTGAAAGGGCAGAAAGCCCCAGAGGAGAGGCTGGTAGTGGGGAGGGGAAGAGGGAAGAGGAGGTTGCTGGAAGAAGTCTGTTCTGAGAACATCACATGCATCTTAACTAAAATGAGGAAAAACAAACATCCATGGGCCAGGAAAATGCACAATTTTTTGTGCAGCTGTACAAAACCAAAAATATGTGGTTTTGAATAATTGTGGCTACAACCTGCATATGAAGAACAAATAAATGCTATTAACTGACTGATAAGGAAATATTTTTAATTGGGCAATTTTAATTCCTGTTACTTAAAAAAAAGAAAAGAATTACACAAACATGCTTTTGTGGAAAAATCAGATGGTTTTTGTAGAAAAATCAGAGGACCAGAATGACCAAGAAAAAGACAAAGTCTAAATAAACATAATCAGAAATGCAAAAGATAAAATCACAACTGACCCCAAAGAAATACAAAAGACTATCAGAGATTACTATGCACACCTGTATGGAAACAAGCTTGATAACCTAAACTAAATGGAGGTTCTGATATCACACAACCTCCCAAGGTTGAAACAAGAAGACATTGAGACACTAAATAGACTGATAATAACCCAGGAAATTGACTCTGTCATAAGAAAACTACCTACAAAAAAAAGCCCTGGACTATTCAGCTTTCCAGCAGAATTCTATAAAATGTACAAGGAGGAGCTGATACCAATCCTATTGAAAGTATTCTAGGCAACTAAGAAGGACAGAATTCGTCCCAAATCATTTTACGGAGCAAACATCACACCGATACCCAAACTGGGTAAAGATCTAACAAAAAAGAGAAGTACAGGCCAATATCCCTAATTAACATATATGCAAAAATTCTCAATAAGATTCTAGCAAACCAGATCCAACAACACATCTCAAAAATCATCCACTATGACCAAGTAGGCTTCATCCCCAGGATGCAGGGTTGGTTCAACATCCACAAGACCAAAAATGTGATTAAATACATCAACAGATATAAAAACAAGGACCACATGATTATATCTTTAGATGCAGCAAAAGCTTTTGATAAAATAAAGCATTCCTTCTTGATAAAACCCTCAAACACCTAGGCATAGAAGGAACATACCTCAAAATAGTAAGCACCATCTACGATAAACCCAAAGCCAGCATATTGCTAAATGGACAGAAACTGGAGACATTTCCCCTGAAAACCAGAACAAGACTGTCCATTCTCATCCGTCTTGTTCAACATTGTGTTGGAAGTCCTAGCTAGAGCAATTAGACAAGAAAAGGAAATCAGGGGTATCCAAATAGGAAAAGAGGAAGTTAAGTTATCCCTCTTTGCTGATGATATGATCCTATTCCTTGAAAACCCAAGACAATCTGTCAAAAACCTGCTTTCATTGATGAAGAACTTTGGCAAAGTCTCAGAGTACAAAATAAATGTGCAAAAGACAGTTGTAGTCTTATATACCAACAATAAACAGGCAGAGAACCAAATAAAAAGCACAATCCCACTCACAATAGCTACCCACAAAAAAATGAAATACTTCGGCATCTCCCTAACCAGAGAAGTGAAAGACCTTTACAATGAAAACTACAAAATACTGCTCAAAGAAATCCAAGAAGACACAAACAAATGGAAAAATATTCCATGCTCATGGATAGGAAGAATCAACATTGTTAAGATGTCCATCCTACCCAAGGCAATCTGCAGATTCAATGCAATACCCATGAAATTACCAACATCATTCTTCTTGGACCTGGAAAGGACAATACAGAAATTCATATGGAAACATAAACAACCACAAATAGCCAAAACAATCCTTAATAAAAGAAACAAAGCAGGAGGTAACACAATTCCAGACTTTAAACTTTATTATAAGGCTACAATAATTGAAACAGTCTGGTATTAGTACAAGAACAAACATATAGACCAATGGAACAGGACAGAGATTCTGGAAGCAAAACCTCAATTTCTCAACAAACTCATCTTCAACAAAGCCTCCACCAACAACCATTGGGGAGAGGAGAACCTATTCAGTAAATGGTGCTGGGAAAACTGCCTGTCCACACGCTGAAGATTGAAACAGGACCCCTACCTATCACCATATACCAAAATCAACTCTAAATGAATCAAAGACCTAAACGTAAAACCTCAAACTATAAGAACCTTAGAAAATGCAGGAGACACTCTTATGGAAATTAAAATTGGCAATCAATTCTTGATCAAAACCCCAAGTGCCCATGCATAGGAGGTAAGATAGACAAGTGGGACCTCATCAAGCTGAAAAGCTTCTGCAAAGCAAAAGAGACCATCAAGAGAGCAGGGAGACAGTCCACAGAATGGTAAAAAATACTTGCCAACTGTATATCTGACAAAGGCCTAATATCTAGGGTCTACAAGGAACTCAAATGTGCCAGAAGGAAAACAAATAAATAGTCCCATTAAAAAGTGGGCAAAACATGAATATACACTTCTCAAAAGAAGATATACAGGCAGCCAACGGACACATGAAAAAGTGCTCAGCCTCACTAATCGTCAGAGAAATGCAAATCAAAACCACATTGAGATACCACTTAACCCCAGTAAGAATAGCCATCATTAATAAAACAAACAGGCCGGTGCAGTGGCTCACGCCTATAATCTCAGCACTTTGGGAGGCCGAGGTGAGAGGATTGCCTGAGCCCATGGATTTGAGACCAGCCTGGGCAACTTGGCAAGACCCCATCTCTACAATAAATCAAAAAATTAGCTGGGTGTGGTAGTGCATGCCTGTAGTTACAGCTACTTGGAAGGCTGAGGTGGAAGGATCACCTGAGCTCAGCAGGTCGATGCTGCAGTGGCCATGAGTGTGCCACTGCACTCCAGCCTGAGTGACAGAGTGAGACTCCAACTCAAACAACAACAGATGCTGGTGAGGATGTGGAGAAAAAGGAACACTTCTACACAGCTGGTGGGAATGCAAACTAGTGCAACCTCTTTGGAAAACAGTGTGGTGATTTCTAAAATAACTAGACACTGACCTTCCATATGACTCAGCAATCCCCCTACTGGGAATATACCCAGAGGAACTCAAATCATTCTACAAAAAAGATACTTGCACACGCATGCTTATTGCAGCCCTATTCACAATAGCAAAAACAAGGAATCAACCATGCTGCCCAACAAAACTGGACTGGATAAGAAAATGTGGTACATATACACAATGGAATATTATGTGTTCATAAAGAAGGACCAATATATGGACTTTGCAGCAACTTGGATGGATTTAGAGTCTATCGCACTCCATGGTCTATTACAGAAACAAAGAACAGAGTACCACGT